CTCGGAAAAACCAAAATCGAAACAAAACACACATAATCTAGCGATTACACATAAGAACCGGCCATGACCGCAATACACATGAAAAATAACCCACAAAACAAACAGACAAGGCAACCGAAGGCCTACAGTGTCGAACGAGCCCCTTGCGGCTACGAGCGACTACAAACCAAAGGGGAAACGTGCCATAGGAACTCTACAAGATTACAGGAGGAAAGACATCGCCGTGAAAAGACACCGGAGGAAAGGCCAGAGGGAGGTTGAGAGAGAAAGGCTAGAGAGGTGTGTGAGTAGAGAGAGAGTGTTGGTTGATTGTAAGACGACGCTCATCTCTCACTGAATATATATGAAGGATATAAGGGAATGAATGACCAGGATCTAAGACCTAGATCGGATGGTACAGATCTCGTCTAATAAAAAAGACGCGGATCTTGAACTGAGTCATGGGTCGCGCACGGGTCAAAAGTACAGACTAGATAAGTGGGCATAGGTGCGAGCGCGGGTCACGTTTCACGGATCAGGGCAGGCTGGCGCGGATCGTGGATCACAGGTCAGACCCAGATTCTAATGGGCGGCATAGATCAGGTGTATAATATATTGTATTGGGGTGGATCCAAAGGACAAAAACCCAACATTATCTTTTACATTAGTAATGTTGTTGTTATTTTAAAAATATAAATTAATATATATAATTTTTTAAAAAATAAAATATGTATTTTAAAATATTTTTACTATTATATCTTAATAAAATATATACAATATGATAACCATTTTATAGATTAAATTTTTTTATGATACAAATAAATAAAAAATATATTTATTTATTTATAATTAACTTAAATTAGTTTTTTTTTAAAAAAAAAATTGATAAGTTTTAAATGTAAATAAAATTTACTATTTGTTTATGGAAGAGATATAAAACTAAAATGATTTTGAATGAGTCATACGTTTAAAAAATTGGAAATTTAGTTAAATTAATTTATATTTATTAAATATATTTAAAATAAATAAAATTATTCAAGATAAAAAGAGATCATTGGACCAGATAGAAAAATGAGTTATCTATAAAAGAATGAAAAAAAATATAATTTATAGTAGGAGGGTCACATTTACTAAAAAAGAATATATAAACTTTGTATTTGAAAATATGAAAATAGTAAAATGTAAATATTTTGAGTAGAAAAAATATTTCGTGTGCCAATTTATAAAAAGATAAAATAACTTCTTTTTTTTTTTTCAAAAAATATAAAATTCAAATAATAAAAAATTGAAAAAAAAAAGTCGATTGAAGATTACTATAGTGCACATTATACAATTTTTTATATTATTTTTTTCCATAAAATATTATATCAAAATATTATACTCTCCGTTGTGCATAATTTGTCAATTTTTTTTATTTTTGTCCGTCTTACATACTTTGTCATTTTTTCTTTTGAAAATATAATTATACACTTTAATTCCATTTTCAAATTCAAAATTTATAATTTTTTCTATTTTAAGTAAATTATTTAGTTATTTTAATTTTAATTTTAATTTATAATTATTTTTATTACATTATTATTATTTTTTCTAATATATTTATTAATTAATTATTAATTACACAATACATGAAACACCCCAGCTAATGTGGACAAATTAAATAGACCAGAGGACAATGTTTAGGCAAACACACCCGAAACATTTCAATTATTTAATTAAATTATTATTGTAGATTAAATATATATTAATTATTGATAATCCTAGATTAATTGTTAGAGTAGACTCTAGAGTACATTAAAATAAGATTGTGCGTGAAATCTCTACATTACACATTTCCAGCATTTAGTACTCCTTCCGCCTTAATACAATAGTTTTATTTATTATTTTTAATCATCCCAAAATAATAATTTCATTTCTTTAAATAACTATATCACCATAAAATTATCTCTAATTTTTCATTATTATTACACAATTGTCACTATTTTTTACACTAATTTAGTCATAAGGGCAAAAAAGTCATTTATCCTTACTTTTTACTCTCTACCAATATAATATCAATATTTCTTAAATTCCGTGCCCAACACAATAAAATTATATGTTTAGAACGGAGGAAATATAAAAAATATATTTATCTAAATATATAAAGTGAATACATTAAATATATATTAATTAATATGTATATATATTATATTTTTATAATATTTATAAAAATTACATCACTAAAAAATAAATTGGGTGAACAAAAATTATTATCCTCAGAGATATAGCATATCTGCAGAGATACCGAAATATGATGGAAATTTTTTTTTTTGTGTTACGTGTCCATATATGTATTTATTTATTTTAAATATATTACTATATTCAAAATTTCTACCATGTTTATTATTTATAAAATATTTTATGTTTCTTTCATCCGCTTCTGAGGGCCACATTTATCTTTTGCGTCATTGTATTTAATATTAAAAATATTTTTATATTTGTATATATATTTTTTACAAATGTCCTTCTATTAGTATTATAAGACACTAATGAAAGTATTTTTGCATTTTTTTCTTAATTTGTACTACGTTTTGATATAATAAATAATATTTAAAGATCAACGTGCAAAAAGTAAACGAGACTCTTATAGCCAAACAGAACTAATATTTTATAAAGTAATACCAATATTGAATATGATATTTATTAATTTAAAATTTAAAGATATGAAAATAAATATAAATTGAATTTATTAAATAAATTATCATTTAAAATGTATTTAAATGAATGAATAAAGTTTAATTTAAAGTTTAAAACACAAAGATAGATATCTCCATTAAGGGTGCTTCTATAAAATTTATATTTTGTCATTTTTTATGTCCAAACATAATATTTATATTTTTACTTTTTTGTAAACTTGATTACATTACATACTAAAATTATCTTCAAACATAACCACCAAAAAATATTTACACGCAGCAAAAGATGTAAAAATATATTTTTTTCGTCCCAAATTAAAGGGTCTATCGAGATTTTATAATAAATTAAAAAAATAATATTATTTTATTAATTATTATAAATGTGTAAAAACTTTTAACATTTTTGTTATTTGATTTCCTGCAATGTATACTTGTAATTTAAGTAAAAATTAAGGATATTTTGGTATTAGTATATGAATCACCTTGTTTAAAATATGAAAAAAAGATATTTTAAGTGAGACAAATCAAAATAGTAAAAATAATATTTCGAATTAAGATGAAAAGAGTATATTATATATAGTTTCTTAATTTTCATACTAATATTCTTAAATTTAAAGTTATTTACATCAATACAATACAATACAATAAAAGATTAAAACATAAAAAAAATTTTACACACAAAAAGGCATCGACTAATATTTAAATATTAATATTATTTTTTCACACAAAAGTATATATTATAAAACTATCTATGTGGACGGAAGGAATTTTTTATTTATTTCTACATAAAAATTGGTGCGTTCCTTTTGCCAAAAACAACACATTTTTTTTTTCAAAAAAATAAATATATTACACATAATTTTTTTTTTATATATTATTTATATAATTTTTTATATCTCATATAAAAAAAAGTCCCTTTAAATTATTTTACAAAACAAAAACACTATTATTTATATAATTTTTTATATCTCATATAAAAAAAAAAATTCCTTTAAATTATTTTACAAAACAAAAACACTCTGACATGTAAATCACTGTTCATATAAAATGAAAAAAAAAACAACCTAAAATAGTATAAAAGAACACATAGTTTGTTTTATATTATAAATAAAAAATTTAATCATTCTTTTGATAAAATTTCTAATAAAAATATATTCTTTTTTTCTATAAAATACTATCTATGGTAGGAAAAGTGTATTCAATCATAATTTTGTAAAGTTCTGTTGGACTTTTAAAATTTGTGTATATTTAATTTAAATTTTTAAAAGTCTTTTAAAATAGAAAAATATTCAATCCAAAATTTTAAAATTTTTTTAAAATATTAAAATCTCATTGTATTTAACAATCATAACTTTAAAAGAATGTAAATTTTATTGAATTTTAATTTTAAAAGTTATGAACAAATTGTAAAGTATAAAATCTCTCATGATAAATAGATATTATGATAATAGTTATTATTGATATTATTATAATATCCTAATAAAAAATAATAGTTTAAAAAATTATAATATACCAGTGAAAATGATAATAATTTTAAAAAAATAAAAATATAATAGCAAAATTTTTGAAAATATATATTTCTAATTGAATTTTTTAATTAATTATTTTTTTGCATAAAAATTCAAATAAATTTTATCTACAAATATGTTTTATATAAATTTATAAAAATTATAGAAATCAATAATTTTTATTATTATTATTTTTTTTTTACAATCCTATAAAATTTATATAAATCTATAAACAATCAAATCAAATTTATAAAAATCCATTTAAATAAATACATTCAATCCATTTAAATCAATATATACTCTTAAAATCTATCAAACTCTACATAGATTATATGAATTTTCTAAAATCAAAAAAATTCATAAATTTTTAAAATTCAATAAAATCTTAAATGAATACTAACCCCTAAAGCTCAAATTATCACTCAATTTCAAATCAAAATCTTCTACCCATGACTTGTATATTGAATTTCGAATATATAATTTGATTGAAACGTGAAAAAGACATCTTTTATTGAAAAAACGTTTGGATGGATATAAAGGACAAATAATAGTATATATTAAAAAAATTGGAATAGGTTAAATTAATTTTTAAATTCAATAACTGGACTTTTTGTTATTTTAGTCAAGTTATTTTAAAATAGTTTCATAATTAAATTTTTTTTGCACATTTAGTCATCTCGCACAGAAGATATTTGCGTGTGGATGACACGTCTCTTTCAGATAGCGCTGACCTAACGGACACGTGGATAATTTTATTTTTAAAATAAAAAATAAAAAATGATAAAAAATAAAATAAAATTTAAAAATATTATAAAAAATATATCCATATATGTATCTTAAGAGTTAGAGTTAGGGTTTGTTTATAAATAGTACTATGTAATTACACTACACAGAAGCTCGGATCAGATCTGGCAACAATGGCGGACGAAGACGAGAGAGAAACCCTAATTCTGTTCCCTCTGCCATTCCAGGGCCACATGAGCCCCATGATTCAGCTGGCCAGAATCCTCCATTCCCGAGGCTTCGCCATTTCCATCTTCCACGCCACGCTCAACTCTCCCCGCCATTCCAACTACCCCCAATTCACCTTCCGCCCACTCTCCGACGGCCTCTCGCCGGAGGAATCCGCCGCCGCCGATCCCGCGCAGATAATCAGGCTCGTCAACGCCAGTTGCGCGGAGCCGTTCCGCCGCGGCCTGGCGGCGGAGATGGCTCGGAAGCGAGTGAAATGCATAATAACGGACGCCAATTGGTACTTCACGCAGGCGGTGGCGGAGGCGGCGGAGGTCCGGCGAGTTGTGATGCGGACCAGCAGCGTTTGTTCTTTCCTGGCTTTTGCTGCGCTTTCTGACCTGGCTGCCAAAGGATACCTCACTCACACAAGTACTACGTGCTCCATATATATATATATATATATATAATTAAGTTTTATATATATCCATTCGTTTATTTTTCGCACAAAGTTTTAAAAACATTAGTATTGTATTGGAATACCGTATGAATAGACATAAAAAGACTAAAATGTCCTCAAAGTAAAAATTTATTGTAGTGACATATTTGTAATATAATGTAAATTTAAGGAACAGATCAAAATTTTAAAAAAAAATGATAGATAGTTAAGTAACAAATGAAGTATATGCTTATGTGGGTTAAACAAACAAACAGTTTGCGAGCTTGTCTCGTTCGCTCATCCGATGTCGTTAAAAATTAATTCGTTAAATTAAACAAGCCGAACACGAATAGAAATTTTAGCTCATTATGTTCAATAATAATAATTTAATATTAAAAACATATTCATCCAACAAATACAAAACGAACATACATTTTTTTTCTCAAATTTTTATTATTTAAAATATTTATTTTTCAAAAAAGAGAAATACTTCATTCATTTCTTTTAATAGTCCTATTTAATAAAATACAAAAAAATAATTTATTTTGATCATTACCTCTTTCATCACTAATAGTTCTTTATTAAAAATGAATTCTTATAATTCAATGATAATTCAATCTACGAGCTACTATTCGAATACACACTAAATAAACTCTGGCCGAACGCAATAACTTAAATTATGCTAATACGATAAACACACTTAGACTATATATGACACACAACCCTAAATGGATTTTGAATGCGGGATCTTAATAAGTTAACCACCTTAACTCGACATCTTTATGGCAAGATTGGTCCTGACCTTCGAAGGGCTTTCAGGACGAAATAAATAAGTATTCCATAAATTAAACAAAATTTTTTAAATGTGTAATATATGGTTAATTCATGACCTTTTGATTATAAATTCATTCTATACTACTTAAGGTGCCTTTGGTTACCGATTGGTTTATTGAGTTGGAAGTTGAGTTGAAAGTGTTTTATTTAATTAATATTTAATTTATGATTTAATATAGTATATAAGATTAAAAAATTGAAAATATGTGTTAAATATGTTAATAATTATAATTGAATAAATTATAATATACAATATAAATATAAAAATAAAATTTTATATAATATAAATTAAAAAAATATAGAATTTTACTTATAATTAACATAAATTAATTTGCACATAAATAAAGAAAGAAAGATAGAAATGAAATATTTGAATAAATTTTAAGTAAATCTCCTGTATTATAATATTTTTTAAAAAAATTAAGAGCATGGTGTCAATTTTACATTTGAAGCCAACCAAACAGATATTAAACTATGATGTTTTCACTTTGTATTTTTAAATGATTGAAACTCCTTCGTCCCAATAAAAATATAAAAAATAAATATAATTAGTTAATAATTAACAAGTATATTAATAAAACTAATACTAACTTAAAATATGATTAAAATATATAATTATTTTTTAAAAAAATAAATAGAAAAATTATGTGAGACAGACAAAAAAAATATTTTATATGTGACAGAATATTAAATTATATAAAATTTAATATTTTTTATTAAAAAAAAATTAAAAGTTAAAAGTATAAATCAACAAATAGACAAAATTTTAATTATTTTTACACTACCAAATAAAAAATAGAAGCGTCAAATTAAAAAAAATAAATATATTTATTACTTTTTACATTAAAAACACGAATATATTTTGGAGACTGAAGCGTCAGCTGCCCATAAATTCCTATTTGTATTGGGCTCTGGCGAAGCCATGAATCTCTTCTTTTGAGAGTAAATAACAACATAAAAGATCACGAAGTGTTGTACTCCCTCCGTCCCATGTAATATGGGTGTATTACCGTAGACACGAAAATTTAGGTAAAATATAATTAGTAATTAATTAAGAAGTGTATTAGTAAAAATAATTATTATTTAGTAAAAATAATTATAGATTAAGATTAAAATAAGTAAATAGTTTAATTAAAATTAAGAAAATTATAAAATTTAAAATGCGATTAAAGTGCATAATTATATTTTCAACAATAGAAAGGACAAGTTACGTGGGACGGACGAAAATAAAAAATATGGACAAATTATGTGGGACGGGGGGTAAATAAACTTATGCTTTGATTCTTGCAATAATAATAATAATAATCAGATTCAAATTCAAATTCAAGAAGAATGAGAGATGATCCTGTGGAAGAACTCCCACCCCTAAAGGTGAAAGACATTCCATTCATGGACCAACTATGCAACAACCCTCAAGATGCATACCAAAACATAGCCAAGATGATGGCAGCAACCAAGAAAGCTTCAGCCATCATCTTCAACACTTCCGGCGACCTCGAAGATCCCGACCTCGCCAAGCTCCGCCGCCTCTACTTCCCCGTCCCCACATTTGTAATCGGGCCCTTCCACAAGTGCTTCTCCGCTGCCTCCACCAGCTTCCACGCACACGACGAGGCCTCCGTCCCGTGGCTGGACGGGCAAGCCCCGGAGTCGGTTCTCTACGTCAGTTTCGGGAGCGTTGTCGAGATGGATGTCCGGGAGCTGGAGGAAGTGGCCCGGGGCTTAGCCTGCAGCGGGCAGCCGTTCTTGTGGGCTATCCGGCCGGGATTGGTCCGCGGGTGCGATTGGGTCGAGATGCTTCCGGAAGGGTTCTTGGAAGAAACTAGCGATCGAGGCCGCATCATCGAATGGGCGCCGCAGCAAGAAGTGCTGCGCCATCCTTCGATCGGCGGGTTTTGGACTCATTGCGGGTGGAATTCGACGCTCGAGAGTATCTGTGAGGGCGTTCCCATGATTTGCTCGCCGTTCTTCGGCGATCAGTTAGTCAATTCGAGGTATGTTAGCCATGTTTGGAGAGTAGGGATCAGGCTGGAGACGGGGTTCGAAAGGGGCGAAATTACGACGGAGATTCGGAGATTGATGGTGGAGGAAGAAGGTAAGGAAATGAGGCAGAGGAGTTCATGTCTGAAGAAGAAGATAGAGTCTAGTCTCAGCGATGGTGGTTCTTCTTACAAAGGGCTTAATTCCTTAGTAGATTTCATATCTCCAATGTTGGATACATGAATTTCTAAGTTATCTATGTTCTTGGTGATTCCTAGAGTGTTCTGCTGTTATGGTACTAAATAATACTATATCTGTACAACTCTAAGGGTCTCATTTACTTTTTGTATGATAATTTTTTAATATTAATTATTATATCAAAACGTAGTACAAATTAAAAAAAAAAAATTGCAAAAATACTTCAATTAGTATCTTATAATGCTAATATAAGGACATTTGTACAAAAATTTATACAAATATAATGATATTTTTAACAGTAAGTACAATGACGCAAAAGATAAATGTGACCCTCAGAGGCGAACGGAGAAAGTACTATTTCTGTCGGCACGAAGATTAAAAAAAATAAATATTTCATTGAAAGAGTAGAAAAAATAAATAAATAGTATAAGGTATTTTGGAAAAATGTTAGTAATAAAAGAGAGAACAAAGAGAATGTAATAAAATTAATGGTATTTGCTGCAAGTAAGTGTTAAATAAAGAAGGTAAGAATAAATTTGACAGAGAGTATTATTCAGCAATACCTAGCACGTATAACGTGTTAGCACAGAGACTTGACAACACAATTTATGTTAATATAATATATAATCCGATAACATATCACATGTTAGCACATGTTGTTTCAACAACTATTGTGTTGGATTTATCATTAATATCTGCATGGTATATCATTACAATGTGTTGATTGGAGTTAAACACCATTACCGGTTCCTAGAGACCCGACAAAAGCGAATTCATACCATCGACTTGAAATAAAGAGACATCTACGCTCCAATTGTTCAACAAGTTCGATCCATGTTGGAGTTCTCTTTCGCCGTTAGATCGTGCTACATCTAATATCAATCTATTAAAGCTATCTAAGCTCAATAAGTACCCAGCCACGAAAGATTACTCTACAAAATTTTTAAGTACACAACAAAATAGAGCAGCATCGTATAAAATGCAAACTGCGGGGTGAATTCGAAACGGAGGCAACACAAATGCAAGAAGAAAACAGCATAATGTCACATTAACCATAAGAAGTATTGAACAAGTATAGTTTGATTTTCTAGAATAATGTAGAAGTGTGAATGTTACTAGGAGATGGAGCGGAAAAATATATCTAAACGACGTATCTAGAACTCTATATTTTTCTCAGTAATGCAGGATTACTGAGAAGATTGATAATGGGCATGAAGTCAGTAAATCAAATACCGTACGCCAAGGAAATGAAGTCTTATCTATAGGGCATCATCCATTGTTAACCTGCTCTATGAATCGTAAACTGATCTTGAGCAACACCATTTTTCCTTCTTCCCTCAAACTTGGGCACTTTTCAATGAACAGATGCAAGTTGAGTTCTACTGAGAATTTTATGAAATTAAAGGTATGGCTAGGTGCTAAAGACAGTCATATATGCCGATATATCTATTAGGAATGTTTTATATTTTTCATGTGCTACATCTTCTATCAAATGCAATGCATAACAAGTTTTCAATTTTACATTTACATTTGAATGGCAATAGAAAACGGCACAATCAAGATGCAAGAAGCCAATAATTTTTCTTCAAAATCCATAACAAAAGGCAATTAGAAATGCTTTATATTCTCCATGTGCTACATCTTCGATCAAATGCAAACCTCAAAAACAAAATTTCAATTTTGCATTTGAATGGCAATTAAAAACAGGCACAAACAAGAAGGAAGAAACAATTAATTTTTCTGCCAAACCCATAACAGAAGGCAATTAGAAATGCTCCATATTCTTTATGTGCTACATCTTCGATCAAATGCAAAGCACAGAAACAAAATTTCAATTGTATGCTTGAATGGCAATTAAAAACAGGCACAAACAAGAAGCAAGAAACAATTAATTTTTCTTCCAAATCCATAACAAAATGCAATTAGAAATGCTCTATATTCTCTATGTGCTACGTCTTCGATCAAATGCAAAGCACAAAAACAAAATTTCAAATTTACATTTGAATGGCAATTGAAAACAGGCACAAACAAGAAGCAAGAAAGAGTAAATTTTTCTTCCAAATCCATAACAGCAATTAGAAATGCTCTATATTCTTTATGTGCTACATCTTCAATCAAATGCAATGGACAAAATCAATATTTCAAATTTACATTTGAATGGCAATCGGAAAAGGCACAAACAAGATGCAAGAAACAAATAATCTTTATTCGGAATCCACAACAAAATGCAATTAGAAATGCTCCATATTTGCTATATCTTCGATCAATACAAAATGCATCGAAACAAAATTTCAATTCTAAATATGAATGGCAATCGAAAACAGCACAAAACAAGATGCAAGAAACCAATAATCTTTCTTCCAAATCCATAACATCATCATCATCATCATCATCATCATCATTTCATAACCTTATTACTAAGCCACCAACAAAATTGATCAAACATCAATCATCTCGACGCCACAACAAAGATCAAACCAACTGACGCACCAGCAATGCAAAGATAAGAAACGCCCTGAACACGAACGAAAAACGTACGCAAATTCTTAGCTACCTGAAGAGTCAGCGTCAAAATCTGCAGCCTCCCCTGCTCCTCCATTTTCTTAAAAAAGTACATCGGCTTCAACATCCGCCTGAGCATGAATGCAACCGAGAATGGCAGCCCAAACGCCAGCAAGCTCTGAATTGACGCCTCCGGAAGAGGCAAATTCCGCGTGGAGTAAGATATCCATGCGCCCAAGCTAAGATGCACGAGCCCTAAACCAGCCAAAACCTTGCTCAAACTATAAACGGACTTCATCATCGCCTCAAGAACTTCGCGAGTCTCGTTCGCTAGAGCTGATAAATCACGCTCCACGGTTGGTCCGGTGATTTCCTGGTGCTTAAATTCGTGATTCTGGCTCGGATTATCGCCTGGAGTTTTGGGGACTTCGTCGCCGGATGGAGAGGGAGGCGGATTTGAGGTGGATAGGAATCTGATTCCGCCATTAGGGTTTTGAAACGAGTTCAAATTAGCGATCCAATGAAGCGAAACTTGGCGACGGTCGAACAGCGGGTGGATTCCGGCTGCTGCTTTGAAGAGAAACGTCGGAGGATCGACTTGATTTAGGATCACAATTTTGGTGAGAGAGGAATCAATGGTTCTGTGCGAGGGATTTCGAAGAGGGTAAAGCGCTGGATTGAGGAAATTGAATCCAAACTTGCGAGAAAACCTTGAAGCCATGTCGATGACTGGCCAAATGCAGATTTAGAATATGATTCTGGGCTTGTCTGGTCTGGTAAAGTAATTGCAGTCTCTAACAGGTGTGTTCAACTTCAACCCTGCGCCGCCATTGAAGGCAGCCAATAGCAATCCCTCCATCTTGTTAAACTTTTCAGCGCATAAGTCGTACTTTCGAGCTGTTCGGTTACAGCATTTTTCTATACTTACGCATTTTTTTTATTATATCCAAAACACTTCACTCGAACTCGCTAGAATATTTTAGAATGTTCTGAAAGGTGGTAGAACTTGGTGTGACCTTTGGACTCACATTCGTAATTCGTAAAACATTCAATGTATTTTTTACTTTGAGGGTTGTATACTTTAGAATCATCTAAGGTTATCTTTTGGAGTCCTTGGCTTATAAAAGAACCTCCACACGTATCATTTGGATCATCCAAGTTTTGGCAATAAAAAACATTTATTTCTATACTTTCTCTCTCTAGAAAGTCTTTGGTTTTGTGGTGCTTGGCAGAGTCGGAAAGCCTGCCTTAGTAGCCGACGGGAGTGAATTGCTAAAGAGCGCATGGTTACTTCAAAGGAAGGAAGTTAATCCGTGATACGTGGTATCAGAACAACGATCTTGGCAAGCACTAGGGATGTCGGGAGAACACAACGGGAACGTGTCGGATGGAAATATTGTTGGCCAAGATGGACGCAAGGAGAGACGGAGCAGGTCTCGGGAATTCCTTGCTGACTTAGAGACATGGGCAGTCAAGCTGGAGCTTGCCGTGGGGGAGTCCATAGAACGGTTGGACACCCTGGAGACAAACATGGGCGAAGTCGAGAACAACACCTTGGCGGGACTCCACGAGTTGAGGAGTTTCGTGTTGGAATCTATCAATGCATTGAAGGGTACCATGACGGCGTCCCTTAACAAACTGAGGGTGGAATTCAAAGCCATGACCGCGGTGGAGTTAGGCGAGTTGGGGGAACATACGACTTTGAGGTTGGAGCGCTTCGAGGAGGATCGAGCCTTGTTCAAGGCGGCCTTGGAGGGTGGCGGCACCAAGGTACGGGAAGGTTCACGCGTTAGAGCTCCGGAACCTCCAAAGTATTCGGGTAAGCGTAATACTAAGGAAGTTGATAATTTCTTTTGGTCCATCGAGAACTATATGGATGCAAAAAGAATACAAGACGATGAGGACAAATCAAGATGACGGTCTTGTACTTGTTGGACGATGCGGGTTTGTGGTGGAGGAGGCGCCACAATGACATTGCTCGAGGAGTAGCCCAAATCGATACGTGGGAGGAATTCAAATCCAACTTGAAGGATCAATTCTACCCAAAGAATGCTGAAGAGTTGGCCAATAAGAAGTTGTGCGACCTCAAACATACGAGGAGCGTTAGGGGATACATCAACGAGTACTCATCGTTGATGCTCGAACTCCCCAGATGGTCGAGAAGGATTGATTGTTTAACTTCATTGAGGGGTTGCAAATATGGGCGGTGGTTGAGTTGAGGCACCAAAAGGTCCAAACATTGCAAGAAGCCATATCGGCGGCCGAAGATCTTTTGGAGATCCGACGGGACTTCGTGCCCAAGAAGGTAGTTAAGGACAAAGGTAGGGGAATAAAGCCCTACAAGCCGATGAACAAACCCTACTTTAGAGGTTGGGAGAGAGCAGCCGAGACCGGTGCAAAGGATCAGAGTTGTTTCATGTGTGGAAGACCACACCTTGTTCGGGATTGTCTGAAGAAGAAAGCTCTCAATGCAACCACCGTAGTCCAACAGAAGCGGGAGAAGCCCGATGAGGCGAGATTGGGAGCGATGAGAGTCCTCAATGCCGTAAAGGCGAATGAGGAAATGTTTATGGTGCCCACAGAGGAGGGACCCAATGATGAATTTATATACTGTAAGGTCAAAGTAAACGGGGTACCTACGAAGGTCTTGATGGACTCGGGAGCATCTCGAAACTTCTTGTCCGAAGACAAAGCGATAAAAATGGGTGTAAAGGAGACAAAGGAAATCGGATGGATGAATCTGGCAGATTCGGCAAACCAATCACCAGTGTGGCCAAATGAGTTCCGGTTAAAATCAGAGGATGGCACGGAAAATTGGACTTCATGGTGCTTCCGATGAGTGATTACAAGGTGATATTCGGTGTAAAGTTCATGAGGGAGATGACAGTGATCTTCCACAAAACCAAGTCGATGAGCTTCACCGAAGGTGATGTAGTTATTCATGTCCCTTTACATATTGAAAAATTCGAATCGCATGTTTTGTCGGCCATGCAAGTGTCGAAGGGATTTAAGCGAAGGCACGTGACGTATCTTATAGCTCTCAAGGAAGACGACCCGTCAAAAGGCCAAGATGTCCTAGAGAAGGTCCAAGGCATGTTAACCGAGTTCAAGGATGTGATGCCTACCGAGTTGCCAAAGAAGTTACCCTCGAGGCGGGAGGTCGATCACGAGATCAAATTGGAGAAAGGTGCGAGACCTCCGACGATGGGTCCGTACCGGATGGCTCCGCCCGAATTGGAGAAGCTTCAGAGACAACTAAAGGAGTTGTTGGATGCCTGCTATATCCAACTGTCGAAAGCTCTTTATGGCACCCCGGTGTTATTCCAAAAGAAGCAAGACGGAAGTCTCCGGATGTGTATCGACTACCGGGCGCTCAACAAAGTGACAATCAAGAACAAGTACCCAATACCGTTGGTGGCGGACTTGTTCGACCGCTTGGGGAAAGCCAAGTAGTTCTCGAAGTTGGACTTGCGATCGGGGCATTGCTAAGTCTGGATTGCGGAAGGCGACGAGCCGAAGACTACTTGCGTGATAAGGTATGATTCATACGAATTTTTGGTTATGCCCTATGGCCTAACTAACGCACCCGCTACATTTTGCACCTTGATGAATAAGATATTTCACTCGTTCTTGGACAAGTTTGTTGTGGTGTATTTGGATGACATAGTCATCTATAGTGAGTCCTTGGACGAGCATGTGGAGCACTTGCGATTGGTGTTATGGGCCTTGCGGGAGAATGAGTTGTACATGAAATTGGAGAAGTGCTTGTTCGCCCAAACGGAGTTGATGTTCCTTGGGCACAAGGTGAAGCAAAACGAGATTTTGATGGACACGAAGAAGGTGCGGGATATTGTCGAATGGCAACTGCCTAAGAATGTTTCGGAGCTTCGGTCGTTCCTTGAGTTGGTGAACTACTATCAACGATTCATAGCGGGATACTTGGCGAGGGCACGACGTTGACGAATTTGTTGAAAAAGAAGGTTGCTGGGGATGGAGCGACGAGTGCCAAGCATCTTTCGAGAACTTGAAGGCGGCGGTCGTGGAGGACCCCGTACTTAGCCTCTCGGACTACTTGAAGCTATTCGAGCTTCACACGGATGCCTTGGACTATTCCATTGGAGGAGTATTGATGCAAGATGGGCATCCCGTGGCGTACGAGTCCCAGAAACTCAATGACACGGAGCGGAGGTACCCGGTCCACGACAAGGAAATGTTGGCGATCATCCATTGTCTTCGGACATGGAGACACTACTTGTTCGGGAGTCACTTTGTGATCCATACAGATAACGTGGCGACAAGTTACTTCCAAAATCAAAAGAAAATCACCCCGAAGCAAGCATGGTGGCAAGACTTTTTGGCGGAGTTCGACTACACATTGGTGTACAAGCCGGGCAAAGCCAATTTCGTGGCAGATGCGCTTAGTCGGAAGGCCTCATTTACGGCGATAACTCAAGTGCTAGTAGACCTTACCGACCGGATCAATGAGGGATTATCTGAGGATTCCGTAGCTACGAACTTGATAGAAATGGCTAAGAAGGGCACGACGAGGAAATTTTGGGAAGAGAATGGCCTACTCTTCACGGTCAGGGATCGACTATTTGTGCCGTGGTGGGATAATCTTCGGCGGGATATCCTTAAGGAGTGCCACAACTCCAAATGGGCGGGACACCCAGGTATTCACCGTACTAAGCCATTGGTCGAGCAATCGTTTTATTGGCCTAACATGCAAGATGATATCAATGTCTATGTGCGGACATGCTTGGTTTGTCAACAAGACAAGGTTGAGCAAGCCAAACCGGTGGGATTTTTGGAGCCATTTCCGATTGCAGCGGCCATGGGATAGTGTGACGATGAATTTCACCTCGGCATTACCAAGGTCGGACGGATGCGGATCGATCATGTGGTGATCGATACATTTTCCAAGTATAGGACGTTCATACCGGCAACGAAGGATTGCAAAGCCGAGGAAGCCGCCCGACTATTCTTGAAGCACGTGGTCAAGTATTGAGGAGTGCCAAGGTATATCATTAGTAACCGTGACCTACGCTTCACCGGGAAGTTTTGAAGGGAGCTTTTCAAGCTCTTGGCGTCGAGTATCCACTTTTCGACGAGCTTTCACCCGCAAACCGATGGCCAAACCGAGCGGGCGAACCACTTGTTGGAGATCTACCTCCGACACTTTGTGAGTGCCAACCAAACCGATTGGGCTCGTTTACTTAGTGTTGTACAATTCTCGTATAACTTGCAGCATAGTGAGTTTACCAATCGGAGTCCTTTTGAGTTGGTGACGGGGCAACAACCGACGACGCCCCATGAGTTGGCGCGGGGATACGAAGGAGCGAGTCCGGCGGCGTACAAACTTGCTAAAGGATGGAACGAGGAGCACGATATAGCAATGGCATACTTGGCGAAGGCCGCAAAACGGATGAAGAAGTGGGCGGATGACAAGCACGGTCCACGGGAGTTTGAGATCGGGGACCAAGTGTTGGTCCGAATGTTGGGGAGAAATGTGAAGGCGATCCGTCAAGTACACAAAGACTTGACACGGAAGTACAAGGGACTGTCCGAGGTGGTGAAGGTCGGCTCTTGATCCTACCGACTCAACCTACCCGACAACTTCAAGATCCATCCGATCTTTCACGTAAGCTTATTGAATCCGTACCACAATGATAACGAGGACCCGTCCCGGAACGAGTCACTCCGTGCTCCACCGACGACCACGGTGTCCTACGATAAAGATGTTGCGGAAATCATGGCGGATCGTGTGATGGGCAAACGGGAGACACCCTGTTGGACCGAGTACTTAGTCTAGTGGAAAGGCGAGCCGGATAGCGAGGCAACGCGGGAGAAAGAGCAAGACCTATGGCAATTCAAGAACCACAT